CCTAGTAACTAGTTACTTTGAAAGTAACGAGTAACTTGAAGTAACTGAGTTACTTTTGATAGAAGTAACTAGTAATGTAACTAAGTTACTGTTTTAAAGTAACTTACCCAACACTGCTCATGACAATGACTTACGAGCTTGCGACGTCTGTGGCAGCTGCAGACGTGTGCAGATCAACAATAGATAATATGGAGCGGGGGAGAGAGTACGACTATGCAGCATTTAAATCTTGGAAGTACTGACATTACTTTGAGTTTGATTCCGTAAAACATGACCAACATTAGCGTCCACTGGGGAAGAAAACTTCTTTTTACAGCATAAAAATTAAACTTCAAGTCTGAGGAAGCACATAGCACGCCGGTCATCTTATTTCCACTATTTCCATGTGGGTTTTTTTTATGTGTAATGTCTTTACTCATATTGGTAAATAGACTTTAAAAAGGATTTACAAAGGGTAATATATAAAATTACCAAGTATCTTTATAACTCTGTGTTATATAACCAGTCAGGTTTTTGGCCACTTAAAATATGTTAACAAAACTATTGTTATATTTGTTGCATTTTTTCTGCTGGCCCATGGCCAGATTACTCTAGAATTTGGCCAAGACAGAAATGTTGTTTGCAGCCCAAAATGACTTAATATCACTCATGAAGGATGCATTTGACATATATTTCGCATATTATAGACTAACAACTTATTTATAGTAGCTTAAATACAAGCAATCAGTTTTTGGCAGACAATCACTTTTTGGCACAACATGGGAATGTGAAATTCACAGAGAAACGAGTGACATGACTTCTGCGGTACCGGGCAAAACTCCGACAGCCCCACTTCTGCTTAACAGGTGAAAATAGACTCCGAGCGACAGGACTTAGTGCTGCTAAAAGTTTGATTTTATTTATTTTTTCTGCTTTACTTGCATCTATTTGAAAGAGTGAGTGTAAACACAAAAGAATATTTTATTGTATCGCTGGAATATACAGAAAATTCAGTGTTAAATGTTAAACAAATTTCTTCAAGTCAGAGACTGCTGCATAATAATTACTTTTTTGCTTGATGCAATGTAATAATAATGGATTGGATTTATATAGCGCTTTTCAAGGCACCCAAAGCGCTTTACAATGCCACTATTCATTCACTCTCACATTCACACACTGGTGGAGGCAAGCTACAGTTGTAGCCACAGCTGCCCTGGGGCAGACTGACAGAAGCGAGCCTGCCATATCGCGCCATCAGCCCCTCTGGCCAACACCAGTAGGCGGTAGGGTAAAGTGTCTTGCCCAAGGACACAACGACCAGGACAGAGATCCCGGGGATCGAACCGTTAACCATCCAGTTACAGATGCGCTTCCCAACCTCCAGCGCCACGGTCACCCGTACATAAAGTTGAAAGATTAAAACTAATAGAACAATTTTTAAGAAGCAACTTTTTCATTTGATTCAATTCAAAAAATAGAATTGGGCTGAAAGGTCTGTTGCTTTATTACATATTCAGGTTGTGTATCATGTTTTTATAAAGTAACTAAGTAATAAAGCAACTAATTACTTTTAAAGATAAGTAATCCATAAAGTAACAAGATTACTTTCTTGGAGAAGTAATCTATAATTAGTAACTAATTACTATGTTCAAATGGTCACAGCCTATCTGAGTATTATGTCCATCCATTTATGTGGCGTTCTTCTGATCACTGCTTTTCAGCAGGACAACACACAGCTTAAAATATCTCAAACTGGGTTTTGGAACATGTCCATAAATCCTCTGTTGACAGCGTGGGAAAGTTGGAGTGATAAAGCTTTGATAAGTTTTTAACAAGATAACACTTTACTTATGTCATATTTTGAAATTCTAATAGTCGTAAAATAAAAAATTATCTCTGTCTGGCTGGCACTTTTTTTTTTTTTTACAAGATGTTGTCTTCATCTACCACCTCTAACTCCACCACCTCTGACCCCAAACATGTTGCCATGGAGACCTACTGGAGGGAAGTACACAGCATTGAGGAAGAGAAGGATGGGGAAGAAGAAGAGGAGGAAGATGAGAGAAAGAGTATGGATGGTATGTCAAACTGACAGCTGAGTCAGATGTCATCTTACTGTTCGGATCCTACGTGATTTGTTCCTTTTAGAGGTGGAGCTTGAGGAGGCGTGGCTGACAGATGCGGGGTTGGCTTCCCTGGTGACGGGCTTGCCATTGGCAGATGAGGAGCCACCGCCAGCTGAGGTGCTGCTGTCCACTTTGACACATCAACAAGCAACCACTGTGAGGAAGAGGCTGGATAACTATAACGAGACACTGAAGAAGAGAAACAGACAGCCAATCAGAGATGTCCGGGATATCTTCACTGAGGTGGGACACAAAAATACAAATGCATTTTATATTAAATGCAAAACAAATGTGCAACACAGATGTAGAGATATTTTATGAAATTGTATAGTCAACCATACAATAAATTATGTTTTAGAATATCACAGCAATTTAGATTATAGTCATTGTAAGAAGCTGTGTGTCTTAAAATAATTCCTGGGAAATGTTGGGGCAATAGAAAAAGGCTGTGATCTGCATTTTTTCCCCAACTTTTTGTTCCAGCCTGACGACCCAGCAGACAGATGTGTGTACCCCCACTCCCATCATGCTGAATCACCACCAAGTCGATACCACACCACCACCAAGACCATTCGCCGAAGAGCAGACAGAGGTGCGTGTCTGCTCACCTATAAGTGATTCCTGTGGTCCTTTGCAGAGGTTGGTTCTTTATATATCTTTATGTATTTAACCCAGGTTAAAGGCTAAGGGCATAGCCTTGATGCAGATGATGGTTTTATGGTCCTTGGTACCTCTGATAGACACTGCACTGTTGTGTGTGGGTTTGGTCTATTTAGTCACATTTCTAAACAGTATGAACAGTATGAATACAGTATGTATATATA